GATGTTGCAAAAAAGCAAAATTGAGAATCGAAAAACGGCTTCCTAATGTCATGTTTTTTTTTTATCTTCTTTCATTTGACACCAAAATCATTTAAATCGGATGAGCCATTATGTCCGAATAAAAATCGAATCATTTCAGAAAAATCAAAATGGCGGCCAAAGTTTCACTTCTGTTCCGGATTTTTTTTTCTTCGTTTTTTTGTCATAACTTTGTCTACCTATCAGCATAAAATTTTTTGTCTTATACAAATTACACCGGAAGATATTCAACCGGAAGTGAACATCGATTTCCTGTTTAAACCGGAAGTGAAATTGAACATTTGACTGTACCGTTTTGTTTACTTTCTTAAACTGTCTTTGCTCAATTTTTTTCAGATTAATCAGACAAAAAGCAAGAAAAATGAAAAAAATGCAAAATTTGGCAAAAAAAATGTCTGCGACAAATTTTCGAATTTTGAAATTTTGAAACGGCTATTCTTTCAGATTTAAACAGTAGATTCCAAAAATGCAAACCCAAAGAAAATCGACCCAAAAATACGACTTCTAGAGCCGATTATCTATTCTTGCACATATTGAACTGTGGCACTTCCGGTTTTGCAAAAAAGATCCAAAATATATTTATGCACATCGTCGCCTATATCTAAGGTTCGTGAATGTTGAATGGTTGCTGCAACTATTGTAGTCTAAGCTCAGGAAGGTGTGTAAAAATCGAAAAAAAAAAAAAAAAAAAAGAATTGACATTTCGATAACAAACTGGGACTTTGCCGTAGCAAAGTCCCACAATTACTGAATAATATTGACTTCGACTCACGTTTTTTCTCTCTCTATATATTTATATTACTCGGGCATTGTCATCAAATTCTACAATATCTTATATGTGATAAATAACAAATAATATTAGAATTTATAATGAGCGAACTGCTATACGTAGACCGAAACATCTGTCTCTATATCAGCCTCTGATAGCTATTTGGACACGTGTCGGCTGGGACAGAGGCAGAGGCATAGAACAAAAGCTATGTTAAATGGAGACTTTTCGCATCTCCACAGGAATTGAAATGAAATGAATGGAGTTTTACGTCCTACACATCTCCACAGGTGCGAGAGTTTAAGCCTATTTGGATACCTCGGATCTGCAAATCCCAGATATATTTCGAAAGATGAAATTTTTTTGCAGTTCAGTCATACCATCACCATCTATGTCACGCCTCTGGTTCCATCATAGTTTTTTTTTTTTTTTAAAGAAACTGATCTCGTATCGGCCATTTAAAACTGCGTGCGCATCCAATAATTCAAAGGTCACAGAGTCC